AATAGCTTGGAGATCTTAATGCTAAACCTCAGTGTCTGGGCGGTAGAAGCTTTCTAACTGAGATGTACTCTATGCATGTCCTGTCTGAATGCCAGTTTGTGGGCTGGTACTGCCCTTTCAATAGATGCATTTCCTCTTTCTCAATGTTTCCCCAGTGTATCAGCAGGTAGGGAAAGTGGTTTGTTGGACTTGTCCTGTGGCCCTGCAGGACACTGACAACCCCCAGGCAAGCTTGATGCTTCCCTGAGATTTGCTAACAGAGCTTTGCAAGGAGTCCATGCAGCCAGCTCTCAAATGGCAGAGTATCCTTGCTCTCCTGTCCATGATGATAGGACAAAATCTTCTGAGTCTCCCTGATGAAATTGCCTTGATGGGGGAAGAGAGCAGGTGCCAGAAGACGGTCAGGATGAGGCATACGAGCCTGCACTGTGGCTGAGGCAGCCTTCCTTCTGCTCATTGCTCAAGTTTATGGTGAGAAACAAGTTTTCTATTATGATTTCTTTTTGTTGTCATCTACAAAATATGCTGTGTTTAAAAGAGATTCATAAAATATTTCATTAACACGCTTTAAACAGAACTGCATATTGTCCCAGGATGAAGAAATAATGTCAGGGCTCTGTTTAGATAAGCCTTTTTTTTCTCTTGTGGGACACCTTATACCATTCATTTGAGTCCTATGTAGAATCCATCCCAACTAAAACCTCCTTTCCCCTTCAAGAACAGCACCTGAGCTATCTTTAAAGGGATATAGTGACTCCATTCCTAAACTGTGTCCCCACGTCATTGTGGGGAGGATCCCATTGTGGCAGCAGGTAGCCTGGCTGGAGAGGCACTAAGGGTTGGCACAAGTTTTTGTTGTTCCTGTTCTGCTAAGCTTCAAGGACATTCTTCAAATTCCTTTCTCCCAGCCCAGTTTTTTGATAACCCATAAATAGCTTCTTTTCAAACACAATGCTGAAAGCCCCAAGTAATGAGCCAAGAGTGAAAATGTTTCAGTATTTAAGCATTTCATTGAACTTGTGGAGGCCAAAAGCTTCAGTGCTCTATTCAGACTTAAAATAAAAAACAAAACCAAAAACATATTCAAGAAATGCTACTTCCTTCCCTTGATTCCCATAAAACAGGGCCGTTTTCCTTCAGTCATCATAAATATACCTATGGAGCACAAAAGGTCATGAAAATAGCAAGAATGAGCTGAGCTGCAGCAGCTCTGTGTTCTTTCATGAAGTCAGCTTGGAGATCATGGCCAGGGTTCTCACATTCAGATACCTAAATATGCATAGAGCTGTGCATACTCACCATGGCTGAATTGCCAGGAGCCTTTATGTTCAGAGCTGGAATTTGATCAACAATTTCTAAAAAATTATCTGTCATGTCTAATTTTGGGCACCAAAAAGCAAATCTATTTCAGAACACAAGTTCCTTATGGAAATATTGAGATTTAACTTCTTTCATTGGATTGCTTTGTTCCATGACTGTGAAGGCAAGGCCAGGGAGCAGTGACAATGAGCTTTCTCAGTATTAATATTGTATCCTGTTCATTCAGCACATCCTCCCAGCAACATGAAGTCAATTTTTTGGCTTTAAGGCAAAGCAGTGTTTTCAGAGAAAGCAATTTCCAAAAGGAAAGAAAAATGTTTTGCCTTCCTGAAGACTTTCCACCTGTGCCCATATGTGTCATGTTAACTGCCCCACTCAGCACAAGTCCTGCTGTAGTCTCTGGGATGCCCTCCTGCTGAACCCTGTGCCACTGGTTAGCATTATTATCAGCAATTTAATGTCACTAGATGATAATCCATGGATAATAACAGAATAAAATACCTGTTATCAACTTGTCTGTGGGATCTAGAAATGCCGGCTGGTCTTTTTTATCCTGTCAAATCTAAGCCCTCTGTACCACAACTAACATTTTTGCATTAAATGGCCCTGAGTATCAGTGATATTTATTCACCCCCTAATCTAGCCTTACTTTGAAGCATGTGTTTACCTTTCCACCTGGGAGTATTCCTTCTAAATGATACAACCTGTATGATTAGTTTTAGCACAGGCTAAATTGCTGCAGTAGATGAGGGTCTCCAGGAGAAACACCCTCTCCTTCCCTGCTCTCTGCATCCCATCCATTCTGGAGGAGACTAAGAGATTGAAGACATATTGCACTCATTTTGGTGATAGCTGCTATAAATGTTAAGTGGCCTGTGAGGCTGGTAATATCCTGCAGAAAGCAGCCATGATAATAAGTCATGACAAAAGTACTAGAAATGCCTCACAGCTTGTCAGCTAATGTGTCTTTGCTGAGGAAATAAGCACAAGGAGCAGAAAACTCACTTCCAGTCTGGTTACTCTCACATAACTTTCTTTCACTGACTAGGAGGTAGTTGAAGGTGAAATTAGATCTTGTGATTGTTTGGCTCCCTGTCTCCGGGCATGGTACTACCCTCTGCAGTCCACTGAAGTGCAGCCTAGGAATTCAGTGGTGGGACATTCCCATCCCCACTTTGCAGAAAAAATACCATCTGTCACCCCTGCTCAGGATGCTGCCATCACTTCTGCTTCCCAGCCAGGGAGAGGCTTGTCCCTCCCTGAGGTCTCCACTCCCGCTTGCCCCAGCAGTGCTGTGATGTCATGGACTGACACCTGGAAGAGTTTGTTTTCCTGGACTGGCTCTGTCTCCTGGTTCTCCCCTAATAAAATGACTTGTTGGTTTAAGATGGTGTCTCTCAAGTTTTCTTCCAACTTTAGGAAATTAGATTTGTTTTTCAACTTGATCTGTATCTCTGAGAGTTTGACCAGTTTCTCAATCAAATGCAAGACCAAACATTATGACATTTTTCTTCCTTCTGTGGGATGTAGATCAAACTTTTTCCAAACATCTAGATACTTTTAGTAGTAGAATTTTAATCATTCACTCACATGTCATTAAGGATACAAAAATGGGCAGGAGTTGTGAAAGATGTGGCCACTAAATACTTGACGAAGACCTTCAGCTGGTAAAAATGGCATTTCTCCAGCTGTACAGAGACTGCTGCAGCTGTAGAGCAGCTGAGCAACCAACCCTCGTGGTGCCTGGGCCACAGGGACCTGGCACAGTGTGTGTCACAGTGGCTGGAAAGTGCCTGTGGGTCACAGTGACAAGCTGGAAAGGCAGGCAGTAGAGGCATCCTCAGCCACACCAGCCTGGAGTCAAGACAAACCCAGGTTCACCCTGTTTGAAGGAATGCCGAGAACTACTCCTAACACAGAAAAATGGGTGCACCTTTATGCACTTTGCAACATCAGGCCGACAAACATGATAAAACTGCAAGAGGACAGACTAACTCTAAAAAGACTACCAGGTGCTTCCCTGTTGCTGAGCTGTGTTACTTGAGGAGGTGCCCTATGGTTGCAGTGATGGGATCTCTGAAATAGCTCATCACAATTTCACATGTTACTGAGCAAGGGTTTTGGTTTAGCATGTGTAACTACTTCTGCCTCCTGCTCCCAGATGGTATCTCATGATACCTAAATCTAAGAGCCAAATAAGAATTCAGATTAATTAATTATTACTTAATAGTTGGAGATAAAATATATATTTTTCCATTTTTTTGAGATAAAAACTAATATAAAACAGTCTCACCTTCAGAAGTAAGACTGGCTCTGGTATAGCACTCAGCAGTAGTTTAGGCTTACAGACATAAAGTCCCAGCTGTACTGAAAGGCAAAAGTGATGCTGGCAACTGTTTGACTATCAGTCAGGAAAAGCAATCCCCTCCAGGCCAATGTGGGTACGATGGTAAGGAGAGTATCTTTGCAGTGATGATATTAATAGCTCATTTGCAAATTTCTACCCAAATCTATTCACTTCAAAAGCTCAGCTTGGGGACCAAGAGAGATATTTTTCAACAAAACATTAGTCTCAATTAACTAAATGTAACCAAGATAAATGAGCTGAAAAATCAGCAGCAGATAAAACTGGTGAGGCCATTAAATCTATAAAGGGAAGATGCTGAAACTTGGAAGGCACACGAATACAATCCTGCAAGTATTCCAAGGCAGGGTCAGAAAGGGATAATGAGGCCCTGCCAGGCCGGAGATGCTGAGAGGCCAGACGGTATTGACACAGACAGTCAAACAACAGTGCAGCCCACAGCAAACACTGTGCACTAAGGTGGGAAAGAATTTTAATGAGCAATTTTAGTCTCATACATGCTATGAAAAAAGGACTTGGCATTGTTCCCAATGACAGTGCCCTCCAGATTAGAAACTAAATCACAGCATCCTCAGGGGAGGATGAAAAGAGATAGCAATAGAGTATCTTTGTTTTTTCCTTTGATCCTTATATACTCACAGTAACATGTGTTTATAAGGGCTACATGGGAGTAAAAAGAGCAAGCTGAAGAATACAAATAAAATAAAATAAAATAAAATAAAGGAATGTAGTAGAATGGAACAGATCAACAATAAAGTAATTTTAGCTGATTTTAAGGCATTACTGCAAAGTTTTATGAACACTCACAGCAGGTCATGCACTCTTAGGTAAAGAGTAACTTATTTAGTAAATAGGGCCCCTTTAAAAAACTATTTTGTTCCTCAGTTCTCTCAGAGGAGGCAGATGTACAGAAGCAAGTAATAACTTGTGGGATGACAGGTTCTGCCCTCAAAAACACCATGGAGGGACCGGAATGTACATTGGAGGCAAAAGGAACAAAACTCTCTTTAAGGCATCAGGAGGCATCAAAAAGCTCAGCTGCCGCCTGCAAAATATCTGCAATATGTTATCAGCCCAGGGTAAATGAGTCAGATGCTTCCCCCAGGAGCCATTACACCCCAGGCGGGCTGGGAGCGGGGCCCGGCAGATGGCTGCTGGGGAAGCCTTTCTGCCCGGAAAACTGGGAATGAAAAGTGCGTGCCCCCGAGCGCAGCCGATCTCTCAATGACTGACTCGCGGCTGCTCCATCCCCAGGCCCCTGTGCCGGGAGCGCTCCCACCCCGGGCGGTGCCAGCACCAGAGCTGTCTTTGCTCTCCCGAGCAGAGCACAGGCTGCCACGGTCTTCCCGGCTTTGACCCGCTTTAGGCTACGAAAGTATGATGTGGGAAGTCGGCAAAGCTCCTGAAAAAGCCTACTATCATCATCGAATGAGAAATGCGCACCTTATTTCCCCAGCTCTGCACAACGATGTGCCACGTAAGCCCTCCAGGAGAGCAACATTTCTAGTTTCATGAGCGATTGTGCTACCACGCTATTGTGGGCTCGGCTCCCTTGTGAGAGCAATTCCCCAGCCAAGCTGCAGAGCCAGGGAAGGCCAGTTTGCTTCATCTGTTACTGCCACGGCTTGTTAAAAGGACAGATCCTCTCCCTGCTGCGCCGTTCATTTCCATTTGATCCCATTCATTATTTCTAACCAGCTTTTTATAAATCAGTGTCCTGCAAGAAACCTCGAAACCGAACGTAATGGAGACCTAGGCATGTACAGTGCTCATATCCAGACAAAGAAATTCCCGTTAAACTGCAGATGTCTCTGTGTGGCACTGAATGTGCAACCTCACTGCTGTTCACGTGGCTTCAAACACAGGTCTTCAGCAACCCTGAGCCAGCGCATGCAGCAAGGATCATCTTGAGTGTCACTTGGCATCGAACAGACACATTCATCCTTTCAAACTTTCCTATTGAAATAATCAGCAACTGGAACACTTGAAAGCAACTAAGTCTTTGAAAGAAAAGCTATGCAAGTTCTTTGTTCCCCCACAAACTTGGGATTACTGATATTTTTCTACCTATTTGGAGAGGTTATCATAATTTTTGAAAACATAAGGTAAATCTTTTAGAGAAAAGGCTTTCAACTATTTAGAGGTTTTATTTTTCCCCAGGTAGAGCCAAAAACCTTCAGTGTGTTCTACATCAGTGTCTTCCCTTAGGTTTTTCACTTAAAAATCAAAACGATCAAATTTTGCCTTGGTAGATTATTTCTATTATTTATTTGTGCATTTTCCTGTAAACAAGAGTGACTGCTTAATGGAAAGTTGTCTCCGGTGTTTCTCAAAGTAGAAAGTAGCTGCTGTCCCAGAGGCAGCAATAATTGCTTGAATGGCAATGAATAATTGCCTGGTAACGGCCAGTGCAGGGCTTTGCTTTTCACCGGGAACCTGTTCCCTACACAGAGACTAATTAGCTACTGCCGAAAGGAAAATGAAAATTGCAGAGCTGCTGTCCACTCTTACTCCCAGTGTTTTGCAAGGTGTTTCCTGACACCTCCCAGTCTCAGACCAGCCATAGCCTGAGTCCAAAGTCCTCCTTAGCATGTTTGGCCACCTGCTCTATACCCTTCCTCTGTGAAAGGATTTAAAACTACAGTGCAGTTTTCCTTTCTCCAGAGCAAAATAAAATCTTCAATCCTCAGCTAGCATGGATGGGCTCTTCCAACTGAGCAAGGGGCTTTTGGTTAATCAGCAAGTGGTGGGGCTGAATTGCTGGGGAGGCACTGAGCCATCACTTTGGTCACTGTACTTCTAGCAAAATATAAGGGAGAAGTGGGTGGGACAGACAGACACACAGCTCCACTTCGTACTTTGTGGGCCAAGCCCCCAGCTCTCCTCACTAAGGGCTGTCATGCCAGGTTGACTTTGCCTCTGAGACTTTAGGAAATCAAGAGTTTAGATCAAATCTCTCTCTGCTGGGTTCTAATACAGTCCTTTCTGGGAGAAATAAAGGCCCAGCTCTAAGAGCTATATAGATACACAAATGCTCAGAGAAGTTATTAGGAGGAAATTTCAGGAATAACTTATCTGTGGTGACATAATTAAATACTATATTATAACGTGCATAAATAGGAAAATTGAGCTAAGGCTGCCTTGGAAGATATGACTTGGTTATCTCCTAGTAACTGAATGTTTGACTTTGGAAGTGTAGCACTTCTTTACCAAAGCTTTCACGTGGCATATCAGTAGAGAACTTCAGTAGCTTCAGTCACAGGCTTGACAAGTATCTCCAGTGACCATGTCCCTTGTTGTCTTTCAGCTTCATTACACACAGCAAGCATGAGGGAGATGGAAAGAGTGAATGAGAATTGTAATTGCTTTGGAAAGCATGATGTTCTGTTCATGTTCACATGTGGACAGTCACTTCTTGGAGTAGCTCTTTTACCCTGTGTAAAACAATAATGAAAAGGTTAAGAGGGAATGTAATGGATAATTGTTTTAAAGGTAATAAATATATAATTGATTTCAAGCCTGCATTTTGCAGTAATCCAATCTTGCTCCCACTGGACTCCACAACACTTTCGAGACTCACTTGAAATGAATCAGGTTGCAGAGTTTCCACAAAGTAAAATCCAGCACTTAAATAAACTCTTTATTCTGAAATTCCAGGGTTGTCTTCAAAGATGCATAGTACTATTACTTCTATTATACAGATGTAGATGCTAATGTTACACAGAGTCAGCCAGATAGTCAGGTGATGAAAAAAAACAGAATAATTCACAGCCTGCTTAAATAAATGAACTTCAATGAAGCTACAGATTGTATATCCAATGGATAACTTATAATTTTGATTATTTACAAGGGAAGTTCAGATTCTTCTTGGAATCCATTTTTAAACACCGTTTGAAAACTGTATTTCAAATTTTTTTCAAAAGTCAAGTATTACTTTATCTATATGCACTGTTAGTATACCTCTTATTGCCTTCCCTAAATCCCCAAATTAGCCTAAGGGCTCTTGGTAGTGCAGGTAAACTACTCACTGCAGGGAAGGACAGTGGTTGAAGCAGCTGTGGTACTGCAGCAAGGGGAGAGGGTGGAGGCCGGGATGGGATGGGGCAGCCAGCACCAGTAATTCTGCACTTACCCTGCACGAACCCACCTGCTCCCCACAGCAGGGCAGCAAGATTCCCCAATTTCTGCACTGGGGAGGATGCATTAGTACTGCTGCAGCAACAACCACACAGGTGGCACTTGGCCTCTCCTGGACCTCAAACTCAGGCTTGGCATCTGCAGATTTGCAAAAATCTTTCATGAGTTGGGACTGAATCTTCCCAGTTTTCTCTAAAAGTGTCTGGCAAACACAGAAAGTGCATTTACAGCTTGTATCTTCCAACACAGCCTCCAAGCTACTGTATGTTTGGTCTGCTTCCCATTAGGGCACCCATACCTGCAGTTTGGTTTTAGGGATCTTCCCAGTCCTCTAATGCACTCTCATTACCCTGGGACAGGTTGTATATGTCAACAGGCATTTGCTTTGCATCCTTATTCTGGGTCCTAGTTCACAGCTGAACATTGTTTAAACTTCTTGTGGCATAGAAGCACCTGGACTCCTTCCTAGGGCACGATGAAGATTTCTAGCAGTTACTCTATACTGATGGTTTTATCTCACAGCAATGAATTACTTCTCTTCTGCCTGATAATTCAATGTGTTTCAGTTGGAAATTATGTATTAAAAGACTCAGCAAACTGAAAATTAGCAGTGATTTTCTTTCCTTTTTTTTTAATAATAAAATCAACCAGTGTTTCCAAAAATACTCTTCCTTTTCATGTGTCAATCACAAGCCAGAAACTGCTCTTGAATTATCGCTGTTTGTAGGAAACTGCCTTAACTTTACAGACACCAGAACAAAGTGCTTATTTTTGTTATCATGAAAGAAAAACTCACACGTCCTTCAGCCTGCCTATATTTCAAAGCCCATCAGAAGCAGAGCAGCAGGTGTAGCAGTTTCTCACATTCAGCTGGAAACAGTGATGATGAATTGCATATATGCCCCCAGATCTCTGCCCCTCCTCCAAAAGCCAATCTCTCAGATTAGGCTGAACACAAACAGGGCTGCACAGGACCACCTGCTCTCCCTTGTGCTACATAATATGTTCTCTAAGCCCAGATGTGCCTGGAAATGTAGTGAATCCAAGTTCAGAGGAGGCAACTAAGGGCAGTGGGGTATAATAGAGTGGGCTGCAGAAAAAGATAATTTATTTTCCAGTTGATAGACTGCTGAGAGTCTGTTTCAAAATGTATCTCTTGCCTGTTTAGTAAATGCTACTGTACACCATGCAACAACATTTCTGCCATCAGCTTACAGCAGAGACTGGTTTTCTTAGAGGAGTTTGGGCAGCAGCAGTTGCTACAGAGCAGGAGCTCACAGTGTGACTAGAAAATCTTTTTTCCTGTGCACCTTCATCTCTTCCTTCTGTATGAAATCCTACTTGTACAGGTTCCTGAGTGATTTAATCAAGGGGCTGGTTAGTTCATGGGATACATTTTTCCACCTTTTGTCTATATCTAGTTCACACTTTGTAGCTTTGGAGACCTCGCAGTAACATAATTTCTCACTGTAACTTTCACTATATGCCAAAATGGATAAATCTCATTCCAAATATGGTTCTCAGACCTGACATTTCAAGGACAGCTAAACTGCCAACCATTTTATGTTTGCATCTTAATTTATTAAAAAAACCCAAATAAAACAATCAACAAATAACAAACCCAACGAACCACAAACTCCCCCCAAATTAAAACGGATGGAACCAATGTATACTTGCAGTCCATCTTAAATTGTCCAGGTAGGCCCTTTTGTCCAATGTCCTTCTGCTTGCTTAACCACCTGCTAGCAGAAATGAGATGAGAAGATTGGCAACAAGAAATATGGTGCTGGTAGGAAGGAGACTGTTATGAAAAACATGAGAGACAAGGAAACACAGCTTCTCCAGTTTGGTCTGAGGAGCTGCAGAGCACGTCCCAGATGGCACACTAGACACTCCCAGAACAAGGTGATTTCTTTAATCAGAGGGATCTGAAGGCAGCTGAGAGTCTGGCATATATGAAACATACTGTGCTTATGGAGACAACTGCTGGCTTTGGCTCTGACAGCAAGGGGGAACCTCTGCCAGGGCCTAGCAGCCCCAGTGCCTGTTGTGATTTAGAAACAAAGTTATTTTCACCTGGGTGCCTGTGTAAAGTGCAAAGCCTCTCGGGCCCTTAGTCCCTACCCCAACCCCGGATACTCACACTGGGGCTGGGAATGTTGTTCTCACCCCTCCAGCCCTGCTGCCAAGCTGGGCACCTGCGTGGCAGTGCAGAGGGCTGGCTGGTCACTGCAGCGCTCCAGGGCCACACCACCATCCCAGTGTGGACACTGGAGACGACAGTACCACATGCCAAGTGCGCCTTGGGGGTTTATATGATTCACGTGATTCCATGGAGTGAAACAAGAGCAGAGCAGTAAAAGGTATCAAGAGGCACTTTTGACCAGAGGCTGATCAGAGAAGCGTATTTCAGATGGGTCAGAGGGAGCTGACGAGATGAGGATCAGTGCAGGAAAAATGTGGAAAAGGAAAAGAGAGAGGGGGAAAGAAGAGAAAAGCATATGAGGTGATTTCTGTTACTTTTTATTGGTGTTGCAGACTTTATTTTTTATAAGAAAAGCATTTCAGTCATGTCAAACTACCCCAGTACTTCAGTACAAGTCCTCACAGCTGCAGAGATGCCATCTTCTACGTCTCTGATTTCTCCCTCAGGTTTTATAGATTCCATGTCAGTGTTTGTCCCCAGTCCCCAAGACAGTCTTCCCAGCTCAGCACATTCAGTTCTGCCTGTTTTTACTTTTCTTATCTTACACGGTTTCAGTTTACAGACTCTCAGAGCTCAGTGACAGCCTTCTCAGTGACAGTGAGCCAAGGTCAGGCAACAGTGCTGCACAAAACCAGCCAAAGGCCAAGGCCAGCTGGGGCCCTGGGCTGTGGACCACGCTGTGTTCCTGAGCGTGGGAGCATGATATTCTGTGCACACAATAAACTGAAATATGTATACAGTCTGTATGCATGTACATTATATATACATTATATATATAATGTATATATATATATACATTAAATATATATATATATTTATGTGAATATACATAAATTCTGTCATGTTTTCTGTCTCTCAAAACACACAGTAAACTGAACGACATGTCCTGGGAACCTTCACAGTCAGGAAGAAGTCATACAGCTTCAGATAAACAGACTGCTAAACTATAAATGCCCATCCCATGTTAAATACAATTTCTGAGGTTTAAATAAAATTTTCAATGCTTTCTTATTCCTTTAGATCAGAATTATTGCCGGACAAAAAGTAGAACCACCCCTCTCAGCTCCCCCTAAAAAGCTGTTTCCCTGCTACCTAGCCTCTCTGCAGCAAGAATTTACAAAAATCTCTCAAGAAAACCACAGCTCTGCTTTTATAGTAAGATTTTAAGGCTAGAAACAGCCTGCTTTAGTCATGGCCATGTTTAAAAGAACTGTTTAAGGTGTCAGAATTTCAGTCTTGGGCATCAATTCACAGACATTTGGCAGAATTGTGTCCAGTTTCTCACTATTCACTGGATCTGACTTTTGCTACCACTTTCCCCCCATTTATTACTTTCTACATATCAAAGTCTGATTTTAAAAATAGCTCTTAATTTTTGTGTCATTCCTTCATGAATCTGAGTAGGAAAAAAAACCCAACATCCCCTAATCAATTTGAAATGTTGCAAAAACCACCACTTTCAAGCTTTCTGGGAAAGATATCAGCTTATCAAATATCTGCATGCTCATACATATGCACCTCTTCTCCTCTTAGGGCAAGTTATAATAACAAAATAATGTCTCCTGGTTTTCCGATCCACTGAAAATAGTTGCATACATACACTTTTCCTTTTGTTCAGAACTCATGGCAGTTTGTAAAATCCTGCTGTCAGAATTAGAGTGACAACACAGTGTCACAACACAAAATGACAACACAGTTCACAGAACTTAAGTCTGAACATTTCAGAGGATACCTGAGGCCAAAAGGGAAATAAAACTCTCAATTTGCAGTCCAAGTATCAGCCTGGAAGAAACCTAATTAAATTAATTACAAAATGCTTATTACAAGAATATTTTTTTCTAAATTTTATGATTCTGGTATTTTGAGTTGTAATATAGAGTTAAATTTATCCTACAAAGACTGATTTTAAATTATTCCATGAAAAGGCTTAGAGAATTAAAAAATAGTTATGCTAAAATGACTTTATGACAATGGGTGACGGTGAAGAATTTGAGTGCATTATAGAGACATCTGCTTTGCAAACCAAAAAAAATTACCAAGGTGGTCTCAATGACACTCCAAATGTTGCTTAATTCTTCTGTCTAACCTCTAAAACCAGATCTACAAACAGCATCGTCACTAACAACATCTATTACAGCTATCAAAAAAAAAAACATAGTAAGGCAGCGTACAGGAGGGAATTTAGGAACACAGGACTGGATAATTGTTTCTGGGGAATTGGAGACAAATGTATCATATAATTGATTTCATAAGTTGATCAAAATACATCCTAAATTAAAGTGACAGGAAACTCATAGGGGAGATAGAAGGGACACTGGAGGTTAAAGAGACCAATTTTTGTCTTTTTCGTGCTTACCCACACAGCCACAGCAGCCATAAGGCACAATAACTCATCAGTTGCTCAGCTGCACAATTACTTTTAAGCTGTTTCATTTATATGTAATTTGATTTATGAAACAGATCATGCATTAATACAGGGAAAAAAAATCTCATCACTGAAAATGATTCTTCTGCTGCCCCGGAACTGACAAAAGAGCCACCACTTTGGGAGGTGGGAGACTCACTCTTCACCCCAAGGCTTAGCACAAGTAGCTAAGTGCTCACAGAAGGCAAATGTTATTTTGGACAGATTTAAAAAGAAAAGTAATTTATATTTCTTCATTTCCCCCGTCAGCTGTCAGCTGTGCCTTGCGGAAATGAGTAACAATTTGTGGTATTGGGCACTACAGAGATCTTAGTAGTTTGTGAAGTAGTTTTCAACTGGCTTTTATACAGCATTGGAAAGTTCACTTTTCACTTGGTATCTTCCGGCTCAGCTTTGCCACTCTGCATTTGAACAGGGGTTGACTGGGTATTAGGTTTGATTTGCCTTTAGTAAAGTAATTCCCGTGTCAGGCCAAAGTACCATAGTGGATAACTGTGTCTGTTTTGCATTCAGATGCCTCTGAGAAGGAAGGTACCTGTACTTATAACTATTTCTTTTTACAACAATATAAATGCATAAGAAAGTAAGAGTTTTACCATCAGTGATCCAGGAGCACAAGGAACAGAAACTCTGGCAATTCAGGTGCTGCGCAATTTGAAAATGTAACATCTTTTTGTAAAGGAAATGAGGACTGTTTTTCAGTAATCATCAATGTATCTTCAGCACCTAATATAAATTCAGAGAATTCTTTTGATAATAGATAAAGTGAAATCATATAATTTGGAAGTATATGAAATATTTAAGTATCTGATGATTTTCTAAAATGTGTAGTTCTAGATTTCTGAGACCGAGGAAGTGAAAGGGAGAGAGAGAAAGAGATTATGTTACTAACTGGGGGAAGTAAACCCCCATATTGCATAATGACCCGTTGTATCCCACCAATTAGAAACCCTTATAAAAGTACTTTAAAAATGTAACTTATTTTCAATGGACAGACGTGGTTGTCTATTGAAGCTAAACAACTCATTTCCTTTTGAGTACAATTATTCCAGAAAAGTCTTTCATCAAAAAACATAATCCACAGTGATAAATCACTTAGAGCAATAAAATCACTTGCATGAACAAACACAGCTTCTGTCAGTAATTGTGCTTCCTTGCCCTAGGCACAAGTTTGTTACATATGGGAAGTGATAATACTTGTGGTTACAGTTCCCAGTATCATTCTCCTTTCCCAGTTCACACTTACTCATACCTATGCCTACCCAGCAGCAGTTACATAAGATGCAATTCCCAACATTTATAATCCACCTCTTGCAAACAATAAACCACATCAAATTAGCCCCTGACGTGCTTTGTACTAACAAAGTAATTTGCAGATCCATCATAAAGTATCAGGACTATTATTCGTCTGCAGTCAGTATGGACTTTTTTTCTGACAGTGTTACCTGCAAGCTCTTGGTTATATGAACTCTTAGTTGCTGTCATATAACTCAGGCAAAAGGACAAATTCAGTGCAATCTCTTTCCCGCATTTCTGGAAGCTGGAGTACATGTCCATCTGATCCAACATCATGAGATGTCCCAGAAACAACATCAGCAATGCTCAAGACCACTGATTTCTACTGGTGGTGTCCATTGCACCTACACATTATGGCTTTTGGGGGGACCCTGAACCCTGCCATTACCTTGACTAACCTGTTCACTTGTTTAGCTGTGTATAGGTCTGTTTACAGACTATCCTTCACTACAAGTCCTTTCTACATGGCAGTCATCAAAGCAGAGAATGTTCCTTTCCTCAGTACATTTGTTTTCCCTATTTTTAAACCTCCTCCCTAGGACAGGCTCGTTGCTCTTCTCAGAGGAACCTTGTCCCCATCTACTCACCTAATGCTATATCTAACTACTACAAAGAAAATTCAACGTGTAACTTGAAAGGTAACACTCACAAATTATTTACTTTCTCATCAACATTTCCTAATTATTATGTATAACTTTCTTTGTCCAGCCATTTCCACACCCTTGAAATAGACATTTTCACCACATTTCTTTAAAATTGGCAGTATATAGGAGATGTTCAGGCCCTCAAATTTTACTGGTAATCATCATAAGACAATAATAACTCAGGTTTGTCTCTGCAGTCCTTGTGCCAGATTCATCCAGCAGGTAGGTTCTACCTGCCCAATCATTCTGAAAGTCGGGTTTTTTTGACTGACAGTTGTTTTCAGTGAACAAGAATTCATATTCCGCTTTTCATAGCCATCTTTGAGAAATGAAAGAGGTATAACAGCATGTTAGGAAAAAGAATATCTGCTTAATGTCAAAGTAGTACCCTGTCTCTCAGCAAAGACTGTCATTAGTGTCAGCAGTGGATGTAGCTGCTACTCCAACCTCTCAGCTGTGTTAAATGATAGGAAGCAAAACCAGAGGGTTCTGGCATCAGTGGGGGGCAGCACGTGGAGCAGAAGGATTAACAGGAAATGTACACATGCATTAGAAAAGACACCACAGAATTTTTGCTACCACAAAACAATAAGGCAAACAAATAAATAAACAACTACTCTATCGTATTCCTTTCTGTTGACTTGAAATAGACTTGAAAAAAATTGCACAGTTTACACTGGATTCCAGTTAAGCATAAACTTAAGGTTATAGCTTTTTTTCCAAACAAAATGCAACTAGGGCACTAGCTAAAAGGGAAACAGAAATGATTACTTAGCTCAGGTCTGATCTTACAGAGTCAGCAAAAGAAGCAAAAGTAAGATCAGGACCTTACCCATGGGAGAGAAAAGCATAATATGCATGTCTCTGTTATATAAAACCTAGTACACTTGTATTGGTTTAGCAGGTTGTATTACACTCCCTTCATGCTTGTATAAAATGAATAACGAGCAATGTATTCTTTTTATACATATATATAGCATGCAAAGATTACAGGAAAGTGAAAAAGATATAAAGCCTGAAAGAAAGCAGGGCTGCCTGTGGGCTCGGTGACCAACCTGGATGACAGGCATCTGAAAATACGCTTCTTGGTCATTGTAACATTAAGCTATGAAAAATCCTCCCCTGTGAATACTGTTATGTGCTCTTCTTTAACCCAGCATTCACTAAAAGCTGCATCATAACCAAAACCCCAAACACTGGGGTTTTGCATATAAGACCATGATATTATTTGTGCTCTTGATTTAAATAATTGATTTTTTTATTATTTTATATTCTTTTATTAAAGCAAAAACTGATTCCGGATTTACCATTGGAAAGTGTCCATAGTAGCATATAATGCCACGAATTAATATGCTGTTTTGCTGACCTGGAACCATCACATATTTCTGGGTACTCCACATATCAATCAGGATTAAACTAATTATCATTAATGTTTCTGACTTACTGTTAATTGCATTTTATAAAAATTAAAACATAAAAATCTCATATAACATTACAAATGCTTATGACTGCCTTTCACTTAGAGCTCTTGAAAAACTGCAAGAAATTACCATGTCTTGTAAACTCCTGTTAGGAATGCCACCTTGTGGATAAAAGCTGTATGGACCAACGATTCCAGGTAAACTTCACTAAAATTTTTACTTGCAAAAAAATATCCGTTTTGCAGAAATGAGCTATTCACGTGTGACCTTTCAGAACTGTGAAGAATTCTTTTATTAACTATTCCGGTTAAAAATGACTGTGAATATGGCTTTCCTGTCCTCATCTGTATTAAATGCTAATTAATTATGCAGGGAGCACTAGTTTCATTAGAGATGGGATGCATTTATTAGCATTTTAAACAGAATCAGATTGCCACATGTACTTAGTAAAAAAGTCCACTAAATGCTTACTCCATTTAGATATAATTTAGTGAATTATTCTAAAATGTATAGAAAATACATTTTTCTCATAATATGTTGCTAGGGCAGAACCCTATGAGCACACTTTAACTTCTCTAAGCTTCATGGGGCATCTTTGGTTGGTATATAAAAGGTTGAGTTTAACTACAAATAAGGAAACACTGGATTTTTCATTTTGTCTTATATAGATCCTGTTATGAGCTGAAAATGAATTGAAAATAGCCATTGTATTGCAACTTGCTTGTGAAAGCACAGAGAAATGTCAGGTAAACAAGAATGGAAAGAAGGGGTCCAAGAGCATCTAATAAACCTTAAAAGATCTCTAACTTTTAAAAGCTTGGAAAAATAAATAATAGTTAGCTACATTCAATAAAGCTGACATTTACACAGGCACTTTCCTTCTGTGTCTGTTCACCTCATTTTCATAATGAAAGTATATATAGCCCAAACCATCACAGGACTTATTGTATAATGAAATTTAAAACTAATGAGCCATATCCTAATAGCCATGAGTCAAGTCAGAGTGTGCATTAGTAGACCATTTGCAATTCTCTAGAGACAGAAAGAACAAGGCTAAACGTATCCAGTAGCCTATTTAGCACACAACTTGTTCTGTGTACTGATCACACTACAGCAGAACTGAAACGAGTTCACAATCTCTGGCTCTCAAACCTCTGTGAAATTCTGTCAGCAGACAAGTTACTCCTGGGGCAGCCAAATATGACTTGTGATTATTTGCTTTGACCTGTTGTGTAACATGGATCTGACTTGTCTGAATTGGTCCTCTTTCTATCAAATCACATTTTTTCATGAAATCATCTAACATGTCCAGACAGGGAAATCTTTACCATTCTGTTATGTACCTTTATCCCTTCTTGTAACACGTCCAACTTCTACTTAGAATTGCTGGATCACTCTTTCACTGCTAGATGGAACAGTTCCTTATCATATTTTTTTTCTCCAAAGATGGTTTGTCTAGGCTAATTCTTTCACTAAACTAAGTAAATTCTGTTTGTTGAGACTCTCATGCCAGTGCTTTTTTTAAATCCTTTTATTGCTCTCATGGCCTTTTCTGTCCAACTTCCCAGCACTACTGAAAATTATGACTCCTGGAACTGGGCATAGCATTCTTTCAAAAGGTTACACCAAATAGTCAACGATATTACTTCCCTGACAGTAATCCCATTTCTAAACCTCAGGATCTCACCAGCCCTTTTGGCTGCAAGGCATGCTGAAAATTCATGTTCAGTTGAGAATGCACATTGTCTCCATACACTGTTCAAAGTCAGCATTTCCTACCACAAATTGTTCTACTTGCTAAGTATGTTCTCAAACCTCCATGCTAGTAGAAACTCAGGTTCATTTTAGGCCACAGTGAAATGCAAGTTGCTTACAGCTCCCAACCAAGCAATTCATCTTACTCTCTTTAAGCAGTTCCTTAGTATTTAAGTTTTGTGGCATCTGTAGATTTTTTACTTTTACTTTATTTCCTCCTATGTTCTTAATAAACTCATGGTCAAGAGCCAAATCCTGTGTGAACTCACATAACAAATCTGTTCAATCTTTCCAGTTTGACTCAATTATTGTCATGATGAATTTTACATTTTTGGGTGATACTCTGCATGTTTCCCAGTTCTGATAAGCATGCTGAGTACACTTATAACTCCTGTGGAAAAACACAGTAACATTTAAATCCTCCTTAAGCTGCTAATACATGTTCAGAATCAACTGGCCATTCACTTTAATTCACTGACATTAACTACTCATCGCTGTTTCAACTATTCAAGTGATTTTTAAGCCCATGATCCTGAAATAATATTCCAATTGAATGAAGGTTGGTCCACAATTGTTAAGACAACCAGCTCATGTCTCCACTGAACTAAGTGTGAATAAGAAAGATTAAACAGTCAGAGATTTCCTTTTCCATACTAATTCCTCAAAATACAGTAGGCTTTCCATGCAGCACCAGGCATGTCTGTGTGCAACATAAACAGTGTTTAGACATTTGCTATTTTGGATGTGGGATTCTTTTCTATACATACTTTCCTTCCAGAATGATGGAAATTATCTCACTAACCATCTCGGTTTCAGCAAAGTGAATTACAAGATTATTGGTTACTATACATCTAGCTTTCAAGGAAACATAGGATGGAACACATCTTTCAAGAGTTAAGAATATCAAACTCTAAACCCCACTTCTTTTAGTGGATTTTCTTTATATCAGATTGATAAGGATTTACAAACATATTTACAAAGAAAGTGCTACAGTGTGGATCCTCCAGTTTTATTTGGAAAAAAATACGGTGGATACAAATGAGTAATGCATATTTCAGGAATGCCAAACATGATATACTTAATAGCATTGTGTGTTCTTGATGTCCTTGAAGAGCAAAGTTGGTAGCACGAAAAACAAGAATCTTCCCTGTAGAGTTCCACCAGCTAAAATATTCCATTGCCTCAAAAACATAAATAGCAATTATTTTTGAATTGTAAGATACTAAGAAAACAGAATTATCTTCTCAAGTTGTCCTTATGTGCTCTATTCACCCTTTACCTCACATCACTCTTTGTCACCCTGAGAAGGGCTGTAACTAAAGGCAAGTAATGAGCAGCTGGTACATGTATAAGCAAAACAGTATTTTACACATAAACATTCCTGTAATAAAAAGTGTAAGTATAGACATTACGTTTGTCCTTACATTTGTTACATTCATCCTTAAGGTTTTTCATGTAGTAGCAAGTGTTCAGCAAACATTTATCTATACAGAAGAATAACAGCCTAACTAAAGCTATGCTTTTACTCCAGATCAACAAAGCTAATGGAAACATGTATCTAGTGGCAATGTGTATCTATGCACACTCACACTCTCTGTCAACCTGGCTTTTATTGATTGAGACTGAAACATCCTATCGCTAGACAAACAGGAGCAAACTGTGTATTCAGCAAGCCTAAAAGGCTTAAGGAATCCTCCTAACCAGCACCATATAGATTTGCCCTTGTGTATCATTGGCACACCATTTTTGCCTTAAGAAGTTAATAGAAAATATTGTATGACAGCATTCACTGTGCACAATGTCTGCACACTGAACACACGAGGCAAAAAAAGGTCACTTGTGTCCACTCTTTAATGTCTTTTGAATATTTCATAATACTGATAGTGGGGGAGAAAAAAAGACAGTAACAGCAGCACAATGTTTGTCGAATCACAGTATATTGTTAACACTAAGAAAATCCAGGCTGGGAAGACAGGAGGGTTGCTTCCCTCTCTATCCTATGTCCCCACAGCCAGCTATACTGAGTACGCTGGAAATTTTTTCTCTTCTATTTCCCCAGGCCCAGCAGAACAAGGCAAGCCAGGAGATTGTACATCACAGCTGCCAGAACACAGCATCAGCACCAGGTCACAAATACTGTGCATATCCAGGATCACAACACTACTGCAGCATTTCATAGTGCCCATTACGAGGATCCACAAGCAGATGTAGCGCACAAAAATAGTTCACTGAAATTAATTATTTGTTGAAAATGAGCAAATACTGTAATGTAAAAGCGTTTAGACGTTCTGAGAAATGTATTAATACCTTATGTGCTCTTTAACCACTGCCTTTAAAGACCTTAAGTCCACATTGAAAACCCTTAACTAGGTACAACTGCTCATTTTTTTACTTACTCAATTTGTATCAGCTGCTATAATGGCTCATGCAATAGGAAAACAGAAACTGGAAGTTTTACTAATACTTTCTACTTCAAGCTTGAGTTACTGCCATAAACTTTGAAATACTGATTGAGTCACGCCAAAATAAATCCCCTGCTAGTTTAGTTCTGACTGGTTTATCTGACAGTGAGTTATCTCAGGGTAGGATGTCGGCTTCTAGTCTAATCTTAGAACCTCAGCTTTCTCTTTCAGGTACTTTCTATGAAAACAAGCTCTTCTTTGAAGACATTTTTTTAAAGTATTGTAACTGTATGACAAATTGACCTGTGATGTCAAATGGCATTAAGCCCTATGGAACCAGTTACTGTAGGATCTCCACTGAGTTCTGAAGCTAAAACCAATTCCTGTTCCAGTAATTCAGTCCAGGCAGTTGGCTTTGTTTGGGTTTGGATTTGTTTGGTTTTTTTAAGATTTAGAATTCTGGTCTTGTACTGAGCACATCCAGAGAAAGCATTAAATTTTTTTTCCACTTGGAACTACTGTAAGAATCGGACTGAAGCATACAGAAATACAAGGTGGATGTGCCTTATCACCGACACAAGCAATGCTTCTTTTTTGGCAATATGCTTATGCAATTCTTTCTTACAGAACTTGGATTTTTTTAAAAAATTACATATTTATGGTCTTTCCCATGTTGTGTCTGGAAAATGACAATTCCCCTGCCACGTGAGGAAACTGAACGAGTCAGGTCTTTTCAACCTGGAGGAGGTTCAGGGGGCACCTCATCAGCTTTTCAGTACTTCAGTGGTGGCTAGAAAGAGGACAGAGGCTCTCTCTTCACAAGGAGACACATGGAGACAAAGGGGAAGTTGCACCAGGAGAAGGTTCATCTTGATATAAGAAAAAGATTTTTTCCCAGTGAGGACACAATCAGTGGAACAACCTCCACAGGGATGTGGAAGAGCCCCATCGCTGGAGGTTTTTAAGACGTGCCTGGGCAGGGTGCTAGATAATCTCATCTAGGCTCCCTTTCCCACAAAACGTTGGACTGGGTGATGTTTTGAGGTCCCTTCCAACTTGGGATGCTCACGATTCTGTGAAAACAAAAACTTATTTTTCAAAGTTACTGCAGAAATAGTGAACGAGGATTGAGCAGGGAAAAGAACTACAAAAGTTCTAAAAAGGTATCCAAGAATGGCATTACTTAAAAAGCTATTGTGTTACACCTACGTTATCAGCTACATTTAATTATACTGTATAATGCAGCCACTGTGGCAAAGTGCTTGGGTCTTTTACCTTAGGCTGAAAGAAATTCTTTAAATGACAATTCTTTAAAATAGTTTACTAGGTGGTGTCTTCTTCACCTCTAATGTGGCAAGAAGGTGCCTCTAATGTGGCAAGAAGGCGCACAGAGGAAGCTGTCAGATATGATAACAGTTCAAAGTCCCAAGTGAATCTTGACATCTAGCAAATGTTGCCTATCGAAGAGGCAAAAAATGTTAACCATTACCAGATTATTTGAATCTTGGTGGGAAAGTCGACCTCCCACCTGATGACGGACAGCTCTTTACCTGTAACTGTGTGCCACTCAAAACTA